TGCGAAGTGACCCATAGGTTAGAAAAGGAGGCAGATTCCAAGCCACACTCCACATGGGAAGCACAACTGAAAATTCGCCTTCTAGGTGATGAAATTTTGGGGAAGGAGATACAAACCTTATCAAATAAAGGGAGATGTAAATGGCTTGTAACAAGTAATACAATATAGAGTTGGCCCATACTTGCCGTTTCTTCTGACAAACTAATTGGCCATGACTTGTTCTGTTCTCCCAGCATAACTAAAGTCATAGTACATATCCAGTAAAGGGCTTTTGGTTGGTTGTGTGTGTTTGTTTGTTTTTCTGTGTGTGTTTTTTTGTTTTTGTTTTTTTTTTTCTTTTGTATAAGCAGTACCAACATTAGGATTTTTGGGGAGGCTCTTTGGAACCACACCGGCAAGCCAAAGCTGTACAGCAGGTCTCAGTGACAGAGCCACTGTTTCTGATTTAACAATTCAGACTAATTCTGCAGCAGGCTGGATTAAATTATCCCAGCTGGCCGGATGCTTCTCATAGGCTGTCTATCTGACAGTCCTGCTTCTAAAAATATCAGAAGTTGGATTTGCAATGCTGATCTCTCTGATAAGTAATCCTTTACAGTAATCACTAGAAGTTCCCCACTCAAACAGAATATGTCTGCATCTAAAGAAATTCCAGTAGTAGATGGAGGCTGGTATTTCAGAATTTCCAGTCTCCCCCTTTGATTCCCATTTTGTTGTATTTTTTTTCTGTTTTCTTAGTGGCTTTCAGAAGCACCAAAGGTAAATCTCAGTTCCAAACTGTGTGAATAGTTTGCAATATGTATTCATTTATCTAGATAGTATTCTGGCTTTCATTTTACTTATGTAGTGGATGAAACCATTGTGTGTTATAATCTCTGTCAATGGGTTTTTGAAGGGTGACTTGGTGGGCAGGGAAGAATTCTGTTGTTTCTCATGTGTTGTGGACTATGGTCTCTTGTTTGAAAGTCTCTAGCTACTGAGATTGTGAAAAGTGCAAAACCCCAAATAATTAAGCTCCCTGACTTTCTGCCTTTACATTGATAAGGTCACTACGATACACAGCCATAAAGTGGCTGGTGCTCTCCTGCAGCACATTTTTCATTTTTCTACTTGGGGAAAAAAAAATTGGTAGGGGTTTTTATGACTTTGCCACACGGTAAAGTTAAAGGGTCCCATTTTCACCAGGAACATTTTAAGAGGTTGTTACCTTTTTATTTTAACAAGGTAGACAGTGCCTGAACAGCAGCGCTCTGGTAAATTCTGCTGTATTTTGTCCTGCTGCTGTCTGAAAGGAAGGAAGATGGTGTTTCTCATTAAATGATATGGACTCTGAAGTATTAAAACCTGTTTTGCATGGAGACATTAGGCAGCAGACACAAATGATTGGTGTCTTAGTTGGGGACTTTGCTTGAGCCAAGATTTTCTTCTAATCATTATAATACAGTAGGATGCTTATGGAAAGAATGGGGAATTAAACACACTCCAGTATGTATCAGAGACAGGTAAATGCCTGACTTATTTACCTAAGCATTCCAAAGCTTGCCGTTCTTATATTGATGATAATCTGATACACAGTTTTAAAGCCCTTACACTCAAACTGTTAAAGCATTAGTTCAGTTATTCTGCCTCCTGAAGTGATAATTAGAGGCTAAAAGGTAACCAGATTATTGTAGAGATCTCTCTTGACAGCCTTTAACATCTAGTTAAATGTTAACGCCTGGAAATTACAAGCCTCTCGGTATCATTCAGACCACAGTATATTTTGAAGCAATTGGCCATTTCTACCTTTTTTTTCATTCCATGGTACAACTCCAGTGCTTTCTAGCTTGCTCTGAGTGCCTGCCCATTTGCAGTACAACTTCAGCAGGCAAAAAAAGTCCCTGAGAACAAACTTCTTGCTTAGTATGGGTGTTAGGTGGGATTTCCAGGTATGTAAAGGAGATTGCAGCTGATTCAAGATTTGTTGGGGCTGTTTAAAAGCTTCTGCCTTGTCTGCAGTTGTATTTGATTTCATGTTTGGGCCAATCTAATAGTTTCTGGTGCTGGGAGGGAAAGGTACCGCTCTCTCCCCTGACCTCTCCCAAAGTTCCCCTTCTCTCTCTGCAATGTGCTGACTTTAACGTGCGTTGGAGACCTCAGTGAAAATGAGGGGACAGGTACGGATGGGAGTGGAGGGGAAGAGCAGTAGGAATGAGCTGATTGTGATCTGTTGGAATGGATCACACTTCTTGGGTAATTTCATCCTTGGGAGTTATTTGCACAGCAAAACAGCAGTTTTGGTAAAACCCACAGTGGGTTTGTCCAACACAAATAAGAACAGCAGTAACAAGGCAGTGTCAGGGGAGTTGGCGTGCAATTGGCAGTCAAACAGTCTAATGCTGCAAGGAGTTGTCTCTGCCTATACCTGCTAAAGTCTAAGCCAGCAAATATGCATTGCTTGTCTTACCTGTTCTAGTTAAAATTTGCACCTACGCTATTCAGCATGATTGGTTTGAATCTGTGCTTGTACTTTGGAAACAGTATGTGTTCTATAAATAAGACTTAACTGCCGAGATGCAGGTTCAAATTAGTAATTAATACTTGACCTTATTGGAATTGTCCAGCTGTCCAAAATGGCCATCTGAAATTCTGAAAAACACATCCTCAAAGGACAGAATTCATCTCGCCGTCTGAAACAGAGGTGTCTAGTCTAAGCTACTTGGCCTGTTGTTTGTCTCTGTTGTCAAGGGAGAGGCATCACCACAAAGTGATGGAGATGTCCTAAAAGATGCGTGTCTGCCTGTTAGGAACGATCATCCTCTGAAGATGCTAGTCTCCTTCTACTCACTGCAGGAGGAATTCAGTTAACTAGATGAATCCTGCATACACTGTGGATTCAGCTTTGCATGACTAAATGACTGACAGCAGTTTCCAATTAGCTAGGTTTTCTGCTTTTATTAAGAAAAACTTGAGGTCTCTGTTAGCAAATAATACCAAATGTTACTAGTACTTCAAAACTCCTACTTTCAGAATGGGAAGAGCCTAGTTAAGTATTAACATAAAGTATTGCAAAACAATGCTCTATGTTTTTACCTTTCGTTATAGTCTGTGACTGATGAATTTATAACTTAAAAACTTTTTTAAAAATATCTGAAATTATGCTGATATACCATTGCACTTGATATGTGTTTCAACCAGATCTTTGCTTTCTTGTTCGTAAACCTGCTTTTGTTTGAGTATTGCTCTTCCGTAAATCTGAGTAGCAAAGCAAAGACCTTAGTTACTACAGCATACTTAACTTTCAGCTCTAAAAGGAGTAATACATTGTATGTTCACTTATCATAGACTTTGATGAAGGCAACCAGAAGTCAGTTGTGTAAGACATGAATAATTTCATGAAAAAGCTGCCACTGGCTGTATTATACAACTATGTAGCTTATAAAACAAAGCAAATGATTACCATCAATTATAACACCATCATTTGACAACTCTGCAATTAATTTCCCACTCTTAAATAACTGCTGTTGCACAGTGCCAAAGAAAATGCCATGCATTAACTGACTCATCACCAGAGTCTGTGATAGATAGTACAGATGGTAATTTGATTATTCACCTCCACAAAAATAAGTGCTTTATTATGAAAAACTATTCGGTTTTGTCTTCAGAAAGAATGGTAAAAGGATACTTTGAGTATCTTTAAAAATAATCCCTAGAGTAATGTATAGTTATTCTGAAGTATTATTTTATTTTTTAAGATTTGTGGAGTAGAGCTGCGTGCTAGATAGTTCACAGGCATGGCATAAGCTGATGGAGGATGGGGTACTACAAAACCCGTGCATTTCTTCTGTGTAGAAATGCTCCTACATAAGAAGAATGGAAAGATTCTGCTTTGTTTACCAGAAAGTCTGCAAACTCTACTATGCGTCTTGAAAAAGTACTCCATGTACAAGACCGAAATATTTACCCAGCAAGAGTAATGGGCTATCCTGCAATAGCTATCATGATCATTAAATTACAGTCTTTTCTGGGACACTTACAGATGTGTATTTAAAATATGAGGCAAGTACCAGTTCTGCTAGGGTGTATTTATGGAGTTAACTTTATTTCTTGAGCAGACCAACAGATTTCTGTGGAACCATCTTTAAAATGAAGTATCACCTTATTTTTATATGAATCAAAGGCAGAATGATACTCAATGTACAGTGTTACACACCAATGCATAGCAAAAGTAGCACTTCTTATAAGAAATTGAAGCACTTTCAGTACTACTTTGTGGCTAATCTTGTCTTCGCGTTTACTAGGGATATAAAGGACCCATCAAAAGATACTTGATTACTTTGTAAATAGTGCATATGAGAATATAGGGTGTCTGTGCATACAATAAATACCACAGTTTCACTTTTAGATATGAGTTACAATTTGAAAAAAAAAAAGTAATTCTCTGATTTTCAGAATGGATAAAGGGAAACAATTTTTATGAGTACAAATTAGTTTGCAAATACCTTCAGGCAGAAATGGAAAGTGAGTAATTCATACTGGTTCATTTGTAACTCCAAATACATTGACGTACCTCCCCAGAGAAAGCCTGTCCATTGAGCAGGTGCTCTGATCCCTGGCTGTCTTCGCTTCCAAAGTGTAACCGGATTTCCTCTAAGCGGTGACTATACGTCATCGGTCCTCCGGAGATGTTGACCAAATGCTCTTTGTCTAATCGCAGAGATACATGTCTCCCTGTGTTATACATCGTCCCACTGACCTAAACAAAATGGTGGGGGGGGAAAAAAGCATTTTTTCAAAATAATTTGTAAATCCTAGAAACTAGTTGTACGAATGTCAAGATTTTGCTCTTTACACACCTTTTTTTAAATGTAGCAATATATCTTCTTGTTGTGAGATGAAATACACAACCGGAGGTTATACTTCAACTTCTGCTGTGAATCTTCTACTATATATTTAAATATTTTGCTAACTCCATATGTACATATTTTAGCCAGGGGCACATGTTAACACAATGAATAGGATTATTCTTCTTCTAAATAAGTAGGATTTTAGAGTATCTTGTATGCAAGGTCTGAATAATGGCTTCATTACAAAATTTCTGCACTGAAAATGGGAACATTTCAGATGACATAAATTATTTAAGTACCCTTGAACAAATCTGAAATTTAACTCATTTTTTCCTTTTAATATTTATAACAAAGATACCCAAAAGGAAAGGTGCTGCAAAAGCAGTGATATAATTATTCATAAATAGGGAGCCCTGCTCCTGCTGGAGCTGCAGGTAAAAGCCTTCATCGTCCTCCTCTGCAAGTCTCTTTGTTTTGTTATGAATATTTTATGTTTATAGTTGCCAGATATTTTAGCCATAGCAGTAAAGAACTAATTACAATTTGATCATATATCTCTAGTTCCTAGTACACCTCAAATAGCTGTAATGCTCTTCAAGATTAATCTTTATTTTTAAAAAGACCGAATGTTGCGCTTCATTTGCAAACTGATTTACAGCTGCTGTAATGAAAAAGAAAGTGATTGTGAAAATTTTTCATATGGAATATAATTCTGTCATAATTTCCACTGTTGTAGGAGAAGTTCCTATAGCAAGAGGTTCCTTAATTTATGCCTTTAGAAAGTGAAATATGCCAGTTTGAGTTAAAGTAGAATTGTGATTTATTTAAAAACATTCTGCATGGATACAAATGGTACACTTGAATAACGTTCATTTACTTTAAGAAGAGGAAGTGTAGCAATAATATGCTTTGTTGCACTTCAATTTAAAATTAAAGACATGACTATTATGTATTATATCCTACACTACATCAGTACTATAGTAATTAACATTGCTGCAGCGTCATTTTATCTGTAATACTAATTACTGAGTTTAAATGCCCTGTTTTTTTGCACAGTATGTTGTAAAAAGTTACACTGAACAGACTGTGCAATAGAACTAAATGGATGAGATTAAATAGCTTTTGATTGTTGTGGTTTTTAAACTTTGATACAGATGCTCTCTTTTTTGTGTTTATTCCAACTCAAAGTAAGCAGTATTAAGTTTCTTATGAAAAGTAATAAACACAAATATTCCTATTCATCGCGAATAAAACACAATGTTCTTATTTATAAATGCTCCTTAGTTTTTCTGCTTGACTTTGCATACATAATAATTAAATACCAAGTTTAGCTTAATTAGGTGGAAGAAGGTCAGTGTATCGAATTCAGCTTCAGCACACTGCGTATGAATGACATAAAATTCCTAATCATAAGTAACAAATATAGTTTAAAAACAAGTAGGGGAACATGGTTTAAAGCCGCTTATTCACATTTGGAAACTCACGCTTCACTGAACGCTCAGTTAAACATAGCAACTATGCAAAATATTCAGAATCCATTTTCTTACTGAAATTGGTACAAATCTCAAATTAGGTTACCATTATTTTCTCTCTTAAGGTAAAAGTGACCCAAATAACCCCTAATATGAATCAAATAACTCTCTGTAGAGCAGAGAGGCGAAACGATAAGAGGCAAATTCATGAACAGGCGTAACATTTGCCTGTCTCATTTCCCCCTCATAAAAATGCAGTGCTTGTAATGAGGTTGTATTGACTGTTTTAAAAGAGAATTTCCCTCCGTAACTGCAGATAAAGAATACTGGGAATGCAGCGAAGTACCGGACGTGCCCCATTTCTGACCTGCGGGGAGGGGTGAACATTTGAAGCGAGACTATAAAACGCTCCTGCATGGGCACACAGACTTGTCACCAGGCAGGATGAAATCCAAGATCTTCAATCTAAAAAATGCAAGGTCTCTCCCTTTTATCAGCCTTCTTAGGTTGAAGGGAAGCACTAGTTTTCTTGCTGTGAGTGTACGCACAAGGGAAGAGTAGCCACATGCACCTGTCTAGATTCGGGACCTGACATGTCCATGCCCATTTGTTTTCTGCAAAGTGTCCACACACACCACCATTACTAACAACTTTTAATGGGCACTTCTTTTATGGGCATTTGCTTACTACAGGAAGAATACAAGTGTCTTATATTTGCCATCTACTCAGATGACATCAGAATGAAATACTGGAACCATTTTTTTCTTCTTATTTCTGGAGACATTCTGAGTTGCCAAGATTGTACAGTAGGCTGTGCTTGGCTATGGGAAGTACCGCTGCAACGCTGTGTGAAATTCTTTAGTGCAGTTCAGGATATTGTCTGGTTCACATGCAAACCCAGTATCTTCTCACATTTAAAAGCGTATGCTTCAAGTATAACCATTTACAGTTGTAGGACATAGTATCACATAAATGCAATCACCTTCTGTTTGCAAGCTCAAAGTACTCAAATGCATTTACTCAGTAGGAAAGTGTCATGCAATAAGTAATGCAAGAAAAGAAAGAAGTTTGTCTTCCATTGTTTTCGTCAGAAAAAAATGCATTGCCTTTTCACTATGCGTAGTTTTAATTGCTGCTGGAGAGAAAGCAGATTCTGATCTTGCTCGCTATGTGAAGCTACTGATAGCAGAAGGATTTTCCGTATCTTTTGGTACTGAACCTTTAAAGTGATAGTGCACTCTTATTTTAGAACATCAAACTGAGCTGGGTTTGTGCAAAGCCTTGGTGGTGTAAAGGGCCACAGGCTCAGGAGGTAACGAGGTGTTTTGTGCATTCTCCTACAAGGTAAACAGTAAGGCACGGGTGCCTTATGGGAAAGATGTTGACTCTGCCTGCTACAGTCAACAATATCTGCTGCTCCAGAGAGTGTAGTATTTATTTTTTATACCCTTCTGCAAATTGGATAAAAAATTATAGGGTAGTTTAAAAGGATAATACAAAAGACCTGTTAAAATCTATATAACTGTTTCCTTAATGTGTCAGACTAACCCTTGGTACTAAGTCCTTCACAGTCCTGGCCTTTGTGTTGCTTCTTGCTCTGCTATTAAGTGAACCTTTTGTTCTGTGTTTCTGTTTGACTTGGAAGTTACGTGAAGAGGAAAACATAGCAAACAATCTTGGGGGGGAAAAAAAGAGTACTAAACCTTGCCCTCCCATTTTTCAAAAGGATCAATATTCATGTTTATCTTGTGCACTAGAAATGAGACTGCAGTAAAGAAAACATACGTTAAAACATTGGTAAAATTTTGCCTGTCTGAGGAAACAGCTTCGTCCAACATTGTCAATGTTAACGATCAGACCACATTCTCAGCTGACCCCATTTTTCTCACGCATTAAGAAACGTTTCCAAACAGGTAGTTTCACCCGTGGCAAAATTCCCAAGTAGAACAGAGCATGTTGATGGGCTTCTTAATTGTGGAATAGTTCAGTAGAACTTTGGTAGACTTTAATTAAATTATTAACATATTCCTGATGTAGTTATTTTCTATTTAATCTCATTCATTTTAATTCTTGCTTCACAGAGCTTTGTGCACGTAATTCCCCAGCAACTTTATTCTCTCTCTTTATCTTGATGCAAGACAGCCACACAGGCACACGCTACTAATATATTCTATACTACATTTCTAAGTCAGATCTGAATACTCATGTGGTATGTGTGTAGAACTTGCTGGTCCTGTGATCACAAAAAAGTCTCAGTTCTGCTTTTTGAAAGGTGGAACACAAGCAAAGTCAATAAAAATGCATACCTAATAAACACAAACTCTTTGATGCATGTTTATCTTGAAACTCTACAGACTTTTATGGCCATTAGGTAAAAAAACCCCAAACAATCCTGAAAATTTTTTTTCTAATGATGTTCTTTAACACCGCATTTGTGGAAGCACTTTTGTTGTGTCCTAGTTAACTGTATATCTTGTTCCTTTCGTCTTTTCTTCCACAACTAGTCCTGAACTATGTATTTTTCAGAACTTTCTTTGTGGCCTACATCTTTACAGTCTGTGTAAAAATAGCCTTCAAAACCCCGAGCTGACGTGACAGAAAAAGAAACCTGCGCAAGGGCGAAGCCATGCTAGGAATGTAAGCAGGGAATACGGGAGGAAAGGAGCAGGAGCCGAGATGGATTCCTTGCCTTTCAATCCCATGCTACGGTAGCAAGTTCACAGTCACCTTTCTTCAAGGGGTAGCGCAGGTTCTCTGCTTCCTCGTGGCCTTTACAAAACAGCGAAATTGTGCACTTTGGATTTATTCAGGTAAGAGTGGTCTGAAGCTTACTTCCCAGAACATTTTAAAACTTGTATCACCACCTGCCAGTGGACCAGCACTTAATGTAAGGAAGCAGGAAAATCAGTTGTGCACGGCCGCCTGCTGTGGTGTCCTTGGATCTTATCTGCAATATTAGATGTTCCTTTCTTTAGGATGAAAATAGATACAGTCCAGAGAAGGCCTAGTACTGTGTAGGGAGGCAAATCACCAAGGATTGAAGAGTGTTTTGAAGGTGTCGTCGCGCCCCAGTTTTATATCCTGCAATAATCAAGTTTCTGTTATCTGCCACCTGGCTTCCCTATTTTCCTCTCGGAGTCCTATATTCCAGCGGAGCAGGAAAGCAGCTCTGCAAGCTCAGGGAGTGGTGGGCTTCTCCCTCTGTTAGCAGCACCTGAACTACTAATGCCACATACTTTGTCAATACCATTGGTTTCTGCCATTCGGTACGCACGTAGCGACAGTGGCGGGTGGCACGGATCCTGTGGAACCTGTAACGTGTCACTGATTTTCTGCTCAACTCCTCTCCCTAGCAGGTTCATGGAGGCACAAGTGCTCCATGGAAAAAGTTAAACTGTTCCTAACATCTGCTACCTAGGGGTCTCAAAGTGCCTAAA